TCTCTCTCTTTCATCAACTTTATTTGTTTATATCGTACGATAAAAAAGTACATAGTGTATAAATTTAGTACAAAAAAAAGTTGGCAACTCTGTAGGTTACAACAGGATGGTGCACCCGCGCGCAATCTCCTAATCGTACAAGAACACCTATGGGAATTTCCTGTCATTTTGAAATAAAATTACAATAATTTACAATGATTTTCATCGTGGGTTTTGGACCATCACTTTCGATACAACAACTTACAGCATTTATTTTTAAACTAGCTGCTCGACCCGGCTTCGCACGGGTGTTTATAATTTTCGTATTCGTAGTTACATGTTGGGATGGATGTGTATGATGTTGGTTACAGAAAAAATAATACCTTAAAATTTGCATTGAAACCCCTTTCCCGAATTATATTTGCACTAAAAAATGGTGTCATTTGGAATACATATCAGTTATAATGTTGAATATTCTGCAAGAAATGCTTCGATAGAGGGTTTTGCCCTGAAAGAAGTAATGAATTCAGTGGTTCAGCTGGCGTTGTAAGTTGAGGTAATTTGACCTTTCTACTGGCATAATATAATCCTGCTGGTTCTAGTCGAAGCCTCAAAAGCGGAAGGAATTTTGTGGAGTATTGGACTCGATTATCAACTTTTTGGACGATAATTTGAAAACACTCGGGTTTACATTAGAAGCTAGAACTGGCGTTTTCTTGTTCCCAAAAAATACTTGCCCCTTTTTGAGCACCGTTGGAAGATTTTTAATACAACGTTTGTTTCGGGGAAATTATCACAAACTATACTTTTTTATATGGCCCGTGGAAAAAGTACACACTGTATTTAGTAGCACTTCTGATTACGAATACAACTATATACGTCACACAAATAAAAACAAAAGTTGGAAATTGTTGGTTTCAACAGGATGGTGCACCCGGGCAGAACGTCTTAATCATGCAAGCATACGTATCTAAAATTTTTTCTATTTTCCAGGAATTGATCCGATAGGTTTGCTCGCAAGCTGTGCGCGGGTGCTGTCTTGTAGAGTTCAAAAAGTGGCAATGAGAAAGTATCTTTTGTCTTTCTTGTTGTATCTGTTCAAATAATACCAGCAAAAAATAAACATAAAATCGGCAAGTTTCGGTTTTTCTGCCATATCTTCGGAAGTAATCGGAATTTTTCTGTTTTCTCTAAAGCACGATAATAATGGTTTAATTGTGCATCTTTTCTCTAATTTGACCATCATCCTATCTTCTATGGTTTCGATCTCCATAATAGGCATCCTTATCTTGGACACTTTCCCAATGAGAGAAAGCCCGTACCAATGAGTACCTCGTCGTACCTACTGTAGTTTATGGTAAATCTTTAATTACCTACTTCTTAAACTTTTGGTAAATGTAATCCCTTTATGGCTTATGTATGTTGGGTCGTCCTCAAAGGCACAGGTTGGAATGAATTTTGTAGTCACGGCAAACCTTACCTTTTTAGCGCATTTCCACAAAAATAAAAAAAAAATGCGCTATTGTGGCCACTTTGTCCGTCCGTCCGTCCGTCCGCTAACTTTGCGACGCTACTAGTTTTTTATCTTAAGAGCTATTGTTCTACTTTTTTCGCTATTTGGTTCGTTATGGTGTCGAGTCTTGTACCAAGGAAGGAATTTTTTCTGTACCGCTTACAAAAAAAGTTATTGTAAAAAAAACAAAAAACCGTTTTTTACATGTTCCATAATTTTACACTTTTGCCGTTTATTAACGATCCTAGAGATCGTTTATAATTTTGCATTGCTATCTGTCGCCTGCCGGTTGATCTCTCCGTCTGTTCCTTTGTCTGTCTGTCCATCTATCTGTCCGTGTGAACGATAACTTTGTTTAGAAATGTTCGATCGCTTTTACATCTCCGTTAGTTATGAACTAAATTGCATGAAATTCAATATGGGCATAGCTTTAGCCATATAATACGCAATGCCAAAAGTTGAATCGAATCGATTCAAAATTCACATTGCCCTTTTCGCATCTCGACCATTTATAAACCGAATTGCAAACTTTTTTACTTATAAAAGTATTTGAATGAAATTTGATACATAGGCACTTGGGATAAAGGAAAATCAAACGCCAATTTCAAAATTTGGTTTTGCGCATGCGCAGTGCCAACTTTTTTATTTATGGAAGAATTTAAACGAAATTTGATACATAGGCACTTGGGATAAAGGTAAATCAAACGCCAATTTCAAAATTTGGTTTTGCGCATGCGCAGTGCCAACTTTTTTATTTATGGAAGAATTTAAACGAAATTTGATACATAGGCATTTGGGATAAAGGAAAATCAAACGCCAATTTCAAAATTTGGTTTTGCGCATGCGCAGTGCCAACTTTTTTATTTATGGAAGAATTTAAACGAAATTTGATACATAGGCACTTGGGATAAAGGAAAATCAAACGCCAATTTCAAAATTTGGTTTTGCGCATGCGCAGTGCCAACTTTTTTATTTATGGAAGAATTTAAACGAAATTTGATACATAGGCACTTGGGATAAAGGAAAATCAAACGCCAATTTCAAAATTTGGTTTTGCGCATGCGCAGTGCCAACTTTTTTATTTATGGAAGAATTTAAACGAAATTTGATACATAGGCACTTGAATAAAGGAAAATCAAACGCCAATTTCAAAATTTGGTTTTGCGCATGCGCAGTGCCAACTTTTTTTATCTATGGAACTATTTAAGTGAAATTTGATACTTAGGCGCTTGGAACAAAGGAAAATCTAACATTAGTTTTAAAATTTAGGTTTGCGCATGCGCAGTTCCAACTTTCTTATTTACAAAAGCATTGAAATGAAATTCTTCTCATAAACTGAAATTGAAGTAGCACGTCAACAATGGATTGCCCATGTGCAACGCTATCTTTCATATTTGTGGCCGGATTTTTACGATTTTAACAGAAGTTGCATCTTACAAATGGGAAATGAATGCAAGTGGAAATGCGCTTTATGTAAATCGTTTACGATTACTTTTTAACTTGTTTATAAATAGAATTTGCGGACATGTTTTTAAATCAGCTGCAGATGTAGGGTAGGTAGGTACGAATTTATATTTTATATCTTGACGATTATTTTCGTAAATTAATTAGGCTATTCTTTGGTTTCATTTTTAAGAAAAGAGTGTCCTATTTGCTTCCCTTAGCTTAGAGCGTCACATGTTTCGATAACGCAAGCACAACAAAACAAGTTAAAAAGTAATCGTAAACGATTTACATAAAGCGCATTTCCACTTGCATTCATTTCCCATTTGTAAGATGCAACTTCTGTTAAAATCGTAAAAATCCGCCCACAAATATGAAAGATAGCATTGCACATGGGCAATCCATTGTTGACGTGCTACTTCAATTTCAGTTTATGCGAAGAATTTCATTTCAATGCTTTTCTAAATAAGAAAGTTGGAACTGCGCATGCGCAAACCTAAATTTTAAAACGAATGTTAGATTTTCCTTTGTTCCAAGCGCCTAAGTATCAAATTTCACTTAAATAGTTCCATAAATAAAAAAGTTGGCACTGCGCATGCACAAAGCCAAATTTTGAAACTGGCGTTTGATTTTCCTTTATCCCAAGTGCCTATGTATCAAATTTCGTTTAAATTCTTCCATAAATAAAAAAGTTGGCACTGCGCATGCGCAAAACCAAATTTTTAAATTGGCGTTTGATTTTCCTTTATCCCAAGTGCCTATGTATCAAATTTCGTTTAAATTCTTCCATAAATAAAAAAGTTGGCACTGCACATGCGCAAAACCAAATTTTGAAATTGGCGTTTGATTTTCCTTTATCCCAAGTGCCTATGTATCAAATTTCATTTAAATTCTTCCATAAATAAAAAGTTGGCACTGCGCATGCGCAAAACCAAATTTTGAAATTGGCGTTTGATTTTCCTTTATCCCAAGTGCCTATGTATCAAATTTCGTTTAAATTCTTCCATAAATAAAAAAGTTGGCACTGCGCATGCGCCAAACCAAATTTTGAAATTGGCGTTTGATTTTCCTTTATTCCAAGTGCCTAGGTATCACATTTCATTTAAATTCTTCCATAAATAAAAAAGTTGGCACTGCGCATGCGCAAAACCAAATTTTGAAATTGGCGTTTGATTTTCCTTTATTCCAAGTGCCTATGTATCAAATTTCATTCAAATACTTTTATAAGTAAAAAAGTTTGCAATTCGGTTTATAAATGGTCGAGATGCGAAAAGGGCACTGTGAATTTTGAATCGATTCGATTCAACTTTTGGCATTGCGTATTATATGGCTAAAGCTATGCCCATATTGAATTTCATGCAATTCAGTTCATAACTAACGGAGATGTAAAAGCGATCGAACATTTCTAAACAAAGTTATCGTTCACACGGACAGATAGATGGACAGACAGACAAAGGAACAGACGGAGAGACCAACCGGCAGGCGACAGATAGCAATGCAAAATTATAAACGATCTCTAGGATCGTTAATAAACGGCAAAAGTGTAAAATTATGGAACATGTAAAAAACGGTTTTTTGTTTTTTTTACAATAACTTTTTTTGTAAGCGGTACAGAAAAAATTCCTTCCTTGGTACAAGACTCGACACCATAACGAACCAAATAGCGAAAAAAGTAGAACAATAGCTCTTAAGATAAAGAACTATAGTAGCGTCGCAAAGTTAGCGGACGGACGGACGGATAAAGACACGACCTTAGACGAAACACTATTTTATATTTTAATAGACCTATTTGCAATGAGAAAAACTCATTATTAAATGAGAAAAATACCATAAACAAAAAATTAGTTAAGACCAAATTAAATAATAAAATGCAGCACGAGTTCCTTTGATTTCTTTAGAGTTCCCTTGATTTCCTCGGAGTTCCTGTGATTTCCTTGGAAT